ATTTGACAGACAGCCAGCTCTACAATATTAAGTTGAGGCTCCTTTTTGTCCTGGCCGGCTTTCGGCTTATTTCGTTTTTCGTTTTTCGCCTCTGGCTGCGAGTTATGATGGAACGAGGAAACCTTTTGGCCAGAGCCGCACTTTAATTAGAGCCACGAGGTGTCAATGGCTGGGAGTAATCAGTTTAATAGCTCTCTGTGTGGGCATATTTTAGCGGAATAAAGTCATTAAAATGCAATTAAAAATCGTGCAAAATGTTGAACAACTTTCTCTGCTCTCCTGCTGTTGCCTTTTGCCTGCTAATACGCGCGTTTGTAAATTTTCTTAGCTCAATTTAATTAATTTATTACAGAGCGAAAGCAGCACCCACAAAGGGGAGGGTGCGGTATATGCTTTCCAAGGGTCCTGTGGCTGTGATGTACTAAACTTGATAGACTTGGATTAATGGTACGCCGTTCCCTGGCCCGAGGTGGCACAGGCTCAAGTTTTTTTGGGTGAGAGTATACAAATAGTTTATGGGTTAAATATTTATTGCTGGCGAGCAGGTATCCTCAGGCATCTGTTATACATTTTTCTCTGTTCGAAAGTGAACTAATGTTTATTTTAATTGATAGATTTCGATGCAAATGGACTGCATTTAATCAATTAGTATATACAATGAATTTCCAGTCTGACTGCAGTCCTTCTGGAGTTTGTCTTCTAATCTGTTTGCTTTTCCCCTGAAATCGTGAAACAGAATTCAATTCTCTTGAAAATAAATCCGTCTTTCTCGGATAAATACAGGGATCCACCGAACCATCCGCTCCCAAATTGAGTGCCAAAGAATGAAGCCAAAGTGGTTAACCATTAGTTTCACTCGCTTGAGATGGTGTGCCCCAAATGCATGGGATACTGCTCCTTCTTGTCCTCTGCATTAGTCCTGTTGTGTGCAGGTCTGTAGCCACGTCGAAGCCATGACAAATGTATTGTAAATAACGCGTATCAAGGCGATGCGACAAGGATGCCAAGGACTCGTGGCAACAGCTCAGCCAGCGGCAAGACAAATAAAATATGTTGCACACTCTGACACGCACAGTTGCACCTGGGGAAGAGATAGAGATGGAGATGGAGATGGAGAGAGAGCCAAGAAAAATGACTCTCATACAGCCAGAGAGATACAATTTATGGGTACAGTACAGTCTGCAACAAGTACGAAAGGATAACCTCACATAATGATACAATAGCTTAAGGACCAGTATTCCCTCGGCTGATTAGCGAAATTGAAATTGAAATCGAAATAAGTGAAGCCTAATCAAAATCTGATTCAGAAACGCCCCTCCACAAGGTATTTCCACAATCATGCCTTTCTCGCACTTCGTGAATACCCAGCGAGAACAGTTTGCCACATTCCCATTGAGCCGGAAATGTGCAGGAAATGCGAGTAAACACGGAAAGCGATTCGACTTGACAGTGGATGGCCATCGATACGAAATGGCAATGGCGTGGGCGACGGCGATGGCGATGGCGATGGCGACAGGGAAATGGGTAATGGGTGGATGGCGAACCATAAGCTAGTAGGTCGGGGGTCAGTGGCATTTTCCTTTCAATAAACTCCCCCCCACACCCCCAAAGAATAACAGGGAGAAGTACCGACCTCCAATGCCAGCTTCACTTGCTTCATGATATTTTCTCTCTTTTGTCACTGACAGCAATTGCTCTCCGCTGTCAATGGCCGCATATTGATACTCCGTATAATGATGCCAAAAACCAGTGTCCAGGGTCCACTGAAGGTCGATTTTGTGGTGCACCAGGAACGATGCTGATGATATCTTTGTGTATTATTGTGGGACTATTGTTGTTTGAAAGTGTATTTAAGGCTGCTCGAAGAGTGAGTGAGGAAAAGGTACGGATATTCATGGGATACCTTGGGAGGTAAATATTTCCAATAGTCCTTTTCTATTTTCAATGATTTACAATAGCTCTCCGTTGCTTTTTCTATTGTTTTTTACGAAAGTTCTCTTAAAGCTTTACCAAAACAAAAGGCAATACTATCAAAAAGAGTTCAGCAGTTCAATAGAATTCTAATCAATCTCGCGTTTGAATACACTCGCATATGCACATACTCGTACATAACTTTTTCATTTAAACCCCCTGATCCCTCTCCACTGACCGCTGACACATCCATCCATGTCCAGGGGGGTCAAAAGCTGACAAAAACTGAAATGGACTGCCAGAATTTCATCATCACAGCGACTGGTTACAGCAGGGACATGGGACCATTGCAGGAGAGTGCTCCTAACATCTGTCCAGCGGAACGTACATAAAGTTGTGCGGAACAAAACTGTAATCTATTTAATAACTCACGGGGTCCACGGGGCTTCAACAGTGTCAACGCGATGAACTACAAACGAGTGGCGTCCCACGACATTGTAGAGCAGGTACCGGAGCCCCTATCCATGACGGAGGTGCAATAGTAGCCCCTCTTCATGATGAAAGAGCTATAGTGTCCCCCACTATGATGGAAGGGGGGAATCCTCCATCGTCAATGGAGCTCAAACACCTTTGACCTCTGGCAAAGCAACATACGTTTGCCCTACCCGGTGCCACAGCAATGCTTGGCCACAAAAATAAATTATTCAATGCCCTGTGAACGGTCCAATGGATCGGTACGGACATACATATATGTATGTATGTGTATGTATGTATGTATGGGTTTATGTATGCATTTGTAGGAGTATTTCCCCGTGTTTGAAAAGGTGAGAGGAAGTCCGGCCTGGAGAATGGAAATGACAAAATAACATCGCCGAAAGGCAACAGGACGGACATCTATCCATCAAATGTATTTGTCAATGCTCCAAAAACAAAAAAAAAGAACTTTGTATGCAGTTGAAAAGTGCATAAAAATGTCATAGCTAGAGGTGAACAGGATATAGTGGGGACAATGCGATTACGCAATGGAAGAACATCAAAGGATACAACAAAGGATTATCTATCTATATGTACTCGTATGTATAGCTTTGACTTTAATTCCCAGAGTCTGCTGTAGTATAATTAATAAATTAATCCGTGTCCTACCCCCTTTGAAGAACCATGGCAACATATACCCATCTCTAGAAGAGTGACTGGAAAATGATGGAAGGTTCGGGTGGGGTGGGGCGGGGTGGAGTGGAGTGCTGATTATAACAATCAAACTAACTCAATTATACGCATACGTAGGCACGCACAGGCCCGGTTGCGGATATATGTATAGAGGGGGAGTTGGAGGCTGGGCGGGGAACAGGACATGCGTGGCCGCAGGACATGATGGCATATGTGCAACTTCCGGATGGGAAGCAAAGCTAGGCGGTAAGCCGCAGAAAAGGCATGGCACGGCAGGGCATGGAATGTCGATGTGGGCCATCGCTGAAACAGGCCCAAACCCATTTTGAGGCGAGACTGAATTGTGACATTATTTTAATGAAAATTGACTCTTGATTCAAGGGGCGGGGCAGCACTTTCAGCCCACTTGCAACCCGCATGATTGAGCCCATAATATGGGGTCCAACTGCTGCGCTGCGGTCAAAATGCGATACAATTGCCTTTTACGAGGTTACCAAAACAAGGCTTACAATATAATAACGCGCCAACATCTTTCAATGACTCTCGGAGAGCCAAAAAGCAGAACAGAACTGGAAGTGGAAGTGGAAGTGAGGACGAACCCTTTGGACGCAGCTGCTCCTCGGATGGCATTGGCAGTCCAAAATGGAAACAGCAAACGGCAGCAACATCGGAAGAACACTCGGCACAAAGTGCCAGAGGTGCAAACACGTACAGTAATACAAATAAAGAAAACAATAATAGAAAATGGACTCGAAGCCAGAGACATGAAAAGCCAAAGGGCCAAAAGCCAGAGAAAAGCGCAAACAACAACGAGCGAGCGCTCAGGGCATACGACTGGAGACTGCCTGTAGAAATATGTATGTACAAATGTACTTTAAAGAATATGAAATACCCTTCGTTTAAGAGGAGATGGATAGTTGGAGATACATATGTATCTTACCAACTATTCCTAATTTCTCGCTACGATACATAAAAGGTTCCGTATTAATTCCAAATTCGTTGCTTAAATCATAATTAAAGCTCCGACCCCGACCTGTTTAATATCGTGCCCGTTATAGCCCTCCTAAGTAAGTGCTTCCCTTCCTTATTCCCATTCGAAACCTGAAATCAAAGAGTGAAACTCCAGATGCCTCTGCCACGATAAGAGTATTCTTGGCAAACTGCTACACCCTCTTGGAACGTCTTAGGGAAATGTTTGTTTTTCGTTTTTGGCTTTCAGGAAACCCATCCTCCCCTCCCCTCCGCGCCCCACCCCCTCATCCAACACCACACCTATCCACGAACCCTGCTCACGTTGCACTCTTCATTGTGCCCCCCCAATTTTTGCTCCTCCTGCAACTGCACTTGCAACTGCAACTGTAACTGCAACTGCAATTGCACTTTTCAATATTGATGATGGGACGCCACAAAAGATACGAATATACTAGTATACGTACTGCGAGTAAGTACGTATATTTAACGCTTCATTGATTAAGAGGCAAGTGGAAGGCGGAGAGTAAATGCATCTGCTTAATCAAGATATCAATGGGAGTTTAATTCTCGTGTGCGAAATATATGGTAAATATATAGTATAGACAACAAAGGATTGCATTCTACACTGCATTTGAAATGCAACTCAATGCTGAGATTATGCTTCGCCTTCTCCCTCAATCAATTGAAAGTGCTATCAGACATCAGAGAGGTTTCAGGTAAAACCCAGATCAGACCTGACCTGGCCTCCCCAACTTTAACGCTTCAGTGCAGGGGTTAGATCTAATTAAACGTGGCATTGGAATATGTAAACGCATCAGCAGTCAGGGTCAACATTTAGCCATATAAAAGACGTATGCCGTTGCGGGCACGCATTCAGTTTTGGCCAAGAATTCGCCTTAAAGCCAACGTCCAACGTTCAGCGCCCAACGCCCAACGCCCAACGTCCAACGATGTCGTTCAATGGCAGCACGAAAATTGGTTTCCCCGGCATTGGCAGCTATCCGTATCCATTTGCCGAGCTGGCGGATGAGCGCACACGGACGTGGCCGCTGGTGGAGTCGCCTTGGAATGCAGCCGTCCTGCTGGCCTTGTATTTGCTGATGGTGCGCTATGCACCCAAATGGATGGCCAGGTGAGGACCCGGCCCCGGCCCCATTCCTTTGCGCCCTCTTATACGACGTACAATGCCTCATGACAGCTTGAACACAGGTACAAACCGATGCAGCTGCGTGGCCCATTGTTCTGCCACAACCTGGCTATGACGTTGCTGAATGCCCACATATGCCTGGAGCTTTTTACGGCGTCGCGAGCCCTCAACTATAGCATCAGCTGTCAGCCGTGTCGGTTGAGCTATAGCCCCCATGAAATGCGTGTAAGTTTTGTGTGGCAAAACGGTTGGAACCCTCGGCTCTTTGGACCCGGGTCTCTGTCCCGCAGAAAGAGAATCAAATTGAGTGAATCTTTTGTAAATGCAGATTGCCGCGGCCTTTTGGTGGTTCTACATCTCAAAAATTCTTGAATTTGCCGACACGGGCTTTTTCATCCTGCGCCAGAAGTGGTCACAATTGAGCTTCCTGCATGTCTACCATCATAGCACCATGTTTGCCATGTGCTGGATCGTTGTCAAGTGGATACCGACCGGCTCGAGTGAGTCTCACCTAAAGCCTCATCCTATCGCTGTCTCTATCTCTCCCTCCACAGCCTTTCTGCCAGCCATGATGAACTCTTTCGTGCACATCATTATGTACGGCTATTACGCGCTGAGTGTGCTGGGACCTCGTATCCAGCCGTATCTTTGGTGGAAACGCTACTTGACTGCCTTGCAGCTTGTGCAGTTTGCCATTGGCCTCGCCTGGGGCTCGCAGGCCATCATCCGGAGATGCGAGTACCACACCTGGGTTAGTCTCACTGGAGTCGCCTACATGCTAACGTTTCTCTACCTCTTTGGCCGCTTTTATGCCCAAAAATACAGGGTCAAGCATCGTAAATACAAGAAATAAAGTTCTGAGCCAACAATTGTATGAAAAACCATTCGTTTACAACTTCAACGTGACACTTTCAGTGCTTACAGCATTGTAGATAAAGGTATTATCAATGGGCTTATATTGTTTGGTAACAATCTTGATGACTTCCTGGGCAGCACAGCCACCTGCAAGGTAGATTAAAGGATTAGCTGAGATCTTCTATAGAACTCCGTACTCTGCTCACCAATAAATGCGGAGACGGCATGCAGCTCCGCGCCGCCGTAGCGGCAGATCTCGTGAAGTACATCATCGCTGATAGTCGCATGGGTGCCCAAGTCGCTTAGCATTTTGCTAGCAATTGTCTTTAGGCGTCCAATGTCCTGTTCGGCAGTGCACTCGCCGGGAATATGGCCGCATTCGCTGAGAAAACGCTCATAGGCGCGCAGGGCAAAGTTATAGGCGGTAAGATTGTCCTGGACCTCATTTTCCTCCACTGAAAGAACAAAGCGTGGATCAAACTCGAGAACTATAGAGCTCAAAGCGGGGCAGAACTCACCCAATGGCAAAAGGCGACTGTTTCTCTCGTAATCTTCTGCAATGCGTGTCCCACGCATTACCGTCAGACCGGCCGCCTCACGGCAAAACGATCTCACGCTTCGCTCGTCAATGGTGTCTGGGGGCAGGGACAGCTGCTTGAGGTAGTCCTGGCACTTGTGGTACACCTGATCAGCATCCTGTAGCGCCTGCTGGCGATAGATGTTTTGCAGGGCAATGTACGAGTCCGTGTTGGCCGTCATGTCGGGCAGGACACCAGGCAAAGGCAGATGTCCGTTATTATCGTGTGTTAAAAAGCTCTTCAACGCCTTGGCCATGATCCAGAAAACGTTGCTCTGTGTGTAGAACGATACTCAGTTACCTTTGTCCAAATACCTACAATTAGATGTACCTTCTTGGTCAGTAGCTCGCACGCTTCGTCCTCGAATATGGCTTTGAGAGATGCCGGCACTGTGGCTGCACCGAACGCTGTATTAACTGCCTTGATGGCCTCCTCGTAGTTCTCCTCGTCTGCGTTCATCTCTTTTCTGATTGCTTCGCGCAGTTGGTTCTTCTCCTTGTAGTTTTTGGGAGTCTTGTGACCATCCGTCTGCTCCTTCTGCCAGAGTCTGAGGTATTTGTGCAGCACTAGCAGCCAGGGCACTTTGCTGGTTACTTCTGTGTTCTCGAGATGGCCGCGCAGTGCCTCGAACGGATGGTCCAGACGTAAGTCGAACTGAGGATTGTCCGGATGGGCCTCCACAATACAATGTTCACGTATCTGAAGGCGTATGGTGCCCATCATGCCCAGCGAACGGCAATACAGCAGCGGCACATTCGAATCCCAGAGGCGTTTCGAAAGCAACAGCAAGGTTTTCTCGTTCAGGTTCGAAGCTATGACCAGGTCAAAGCTGTCAAAGAAATTCGGCCGATTTTCCAGAAGGTAGTCCACACTTTCATCTACATAGTCGCCGTTGACATCGGGATTAAGCTCCTGCAGGAGCTGCTTGCATGCCAACGCTTTCGATTTGCCAATGTAGCTGGCGTCCAGAAAGAAACTGAGGAGGGAGACCCGTTAGGCTGCATTCTGGCCAATATGTCGGACTCACTTGTTGCCCAGATCCTCCTCCTTGACGGTGCTGCCATCTGCCACCGTAAATCCGCCGATCCCAGGCAGCACAAGCCCCTTGGCTGTCTCACAGCCGACAGCGGTGACATTCACTAAGCAAATGGTAGCCGCCTCCAGCAGCGTCTGTCCATGCTCGCCCCAAAGCCTGCACAAAGCAGATTAAATTAGTGTCAGTTCCGTTTGCTTCAAGGAGTCTTCCTTTACCTGATTTGTCTATCATATTTCTTGCTTTTATCGGATAATTCCGGAGACTTTGGTGCAGGCGAAGACATTTTTGGCAAGTTAAAATGCAAAATACGCCGGGTTCGCGATTCTCAGAAATATACTGAAATATACCACTTTAAAATATACCATTAAAATACCGATACAAAAAACGAAATTAACCCACTTGAACCGCACTCTATTTAAATGGCTAAACAACTTGAGTTAAACCAGGAATGTCAATTCTTCTTTTAGATGCATACTTCTTATTTTCTTGAAACAAAAATTACCACGATATCTTTCACCTGAGCTGCGCTAAAATTCTTCAAGTTTCATAATTTTCGTGCAGCGTATAATACTGGTCGACAATGGGTTAATCTTCCTCTGTCCATGATCGGAAATCAAATTCCTCGATTTTGATATTCGGTTTAATATTATACTAGTTAGCTGACATGCTCTGCCCTGAATTATAGGCCAAAATAGGCTAATTTTGGGGACGTCATTTTTCTACTAATGGAAATATTTTGTTTTCAAAGCTGAGTTGAAACATTACTAAGCAATATACTGTATGGTGACTCGGCCCGGGTTGCAAATGAATCAGTCTAGTGCTGGTAGTGCTCTTGGCAGCCTAGCGATTTTAAATACAATTCGAAATCTTTCTTAAAACATTTATTATCTATTACGTATTACATTTTGATTTATTATTATTGCATACAAGAAATCAGTCTTTACAAATAAATTGTATTAACATTGAATAAATAATAAGGCTACAAATTCTGAGCAAACGGAAATCTTGGCTGGCTTTGTGTGGGCGGTGAAGGATTGCGGGTGTATATGCTATTTAAATCTGGTATATTGTTCATAACTTTTGTTGCTAATTAAATATAATTTAATTTTATAATACCGCAAAACTTATTGTCCGCTGGGCAATACTGCGACTGCGCATTTTCCAACACTCGCTCAAGAGCAACCATCTGTTTTCCATCTCCTCTTTGGTAACATCATTCGCGCTGTAATTTCACAACAACACGCTCCGCTGATTGTTGGAGCTACATTGTCCAGCCCCAACAGCTCGCACACGACTCGAATTGATCTAAATACAAATTAAAATAATTACGGAGAGTATGCCAGCCAGAAGGAGAACTGCGACGGCGGAAGCGTCGAGCAGCAAAGACGCGGAATCGCCGATGAGTCCACAATCAGATGATCCCGCATACAAATTGAAAAGAAAAAAGAACAATGAGGTAAGTGCCATGTAAAGATACGAGTAGGCATGCTTGTGGAGGGAGGGAAACATGTTGCTAGCCTAGATCTCCCAGTCTGACGATGACCGGTCCAAAAATAACCACACTATAACTTATTGATTTATCTTGTTTCATTTCTGTGCAGGCAGTGCAGCGCACACGCGAGAAGACAAAGAAGTCGGCCGAGGACCGCAAGAAGCGCATCGAGAAGTTGAAACAGGAGAACGAGCAGCTCAAGGTGAAGATTAAGTCGGGAAAGAAGCACATTGCCACGCTGCGGGAACTGATCATACAGGGCGAGAAGACCGAGGATCATCATCGCATCATACAGGAGATTTTGGGTGCTCCCGACTCTGACAACGACGACGAAGATGACGACGATGATCCCAGCAGCTAAATTGTAGCAGCATGACCAACGAGCAATTGCTTTTAATTTACTTTATACTATTCACCTACTTTTAAGCATAAACTGTGTATATGTGTGTGTACTAACCGTCGTAGACGTCCAGCTTTTCCATGTGCAGGCTGAAGACCTCGTCCATTTTCGTTATCGCGATTTAGCAAAATAAATCCCCGTAAAATGTAGAATCTTTGGTTTTTTCGAGCGGCTGGGCGTTTTATACCGTTACGCCGCCAGTGCCGTTAAGTCTTGCTCTCTTTGTTGCTATCGATGCTTCCGTTTTTCCAGTGCTGCTGCTGCTTCTGCTACGGCTGCTACTTCCGCCCGTTCCATTGATTTATTGCACTTTTATCATGAACATTAGTTTCAACTGTTGACTGCGTATCGGATTGAATTTTGATTTTGTGATAGGTTGAAATGGGGTTTTTCTGCGTGTAATTAATTGAATTGAAGTCTTCCGCCAATTAGCACCCCCGCACGGATCGGTACGATTCAGATGGAAGATTTTTGGGGCTGGAGCGTAGTAACGTCACATGGCAGGCAGTCGAAACTGAATTGAACGACAGGTAGATCGGACCCAGCTGGGTTGTTGAGCGTTTGGGAATACTGTCGCTTATGGTTGGGCTACGGCTGAACGCTTATTTCCTTATTTTTTATTTATAATTTCACGTAACTTATTTCAGTTGTTTTGGTCTCTCTCTTTCTCTCTTGCTGTAAGTCCGCTCTCTTTGCTGGTGTTGAACAACGTCGCAGACAGACTGCTAATCAGGGCTGCATAGAATAAATTTAAAAATTATATCAGTTTGTTTCCATTTAAAGAATGTCACAAAATTAAATAAATTCAAGTAATAATGCTGATACCCATAAAGACTTTTGAGCCTGAACCCACCAGTTCCAACACTTACCAGCTGAAGAGCCAGATAGCGAAGCATGGAACGAAAACACAAGCGATGCTGTTTCAAGCGTTCCGATTCGATTTGCAGGATGCGAGAAATGCGCGCGTTGCCCAGCTCCAGCGCAGAGAAGCGCAGCCAGCATACTGAGTCGGGGAACTCCATGCCAGCCTCACTCAAAGCTTCGTCCAGCACCGCTTCCCAGATGCCGAAGGATAGCCCCAAGAAACGTTTCCTGTCGTTTATCTGGAGGAACAAGGAGTCCAAGGAGCAGCGCAAGCAGCGCAAATCCTTGAAGCAGGCCAAGATAAAGCGACTGAACACCAACCTCAACATCCCACTGGAGGAGCAGGACATTCGCAAGCTGATCCGGCTCTACTGCAAGCACGACAATCTCTACAACCCGAAGAACTCGTACTACGGCAACAAGGAGATCGACGAGGACTGCTACATCGACATGACCCGGTCCTTTCCCGGCCAGACCAGCGACGATCTGCGCGGCTATCTGGAGGAGCTGAAGAACCTATTCGAGCGGGAGTACACCATAATCGAGAGCGCGTGCCGTAACTACGGAGAGATCATGACCCCCTCCATCCAGTACTACAACGAGTTCCTCTTCCTGGTGCCCTATTTGTGCATCAACTTCGACAAGAACCGGCCGCGCAGCTCCAGCGACCTTGGGCTGCCCAATCGCCCCGCGCCGGACATGTCCAGGTCCGCCTCTAGCATGATATCTCACAAAAAGCCATCTACGACTGATCTGAAGAATGCGCTGGCCACCAATGAGATGCTGCGCAGCAAGATGGTCAATCTTGCTGCCTGTGCCGGCCCCCCCACCCCCTTCTCGCCGGGTGCGTGCTTTGGCAAATGCATGAAGCGAAAACCCGAAAATAAACCCAGCGAAAAGGACATCAAAAAGGAGAAAAAGCCAAAGGAGAAGCAGGTGCAGCAGGAAAATAGCAAACCCATAGAGGAGCAGCAGGCCCCGAGGGAGAATGCTGATGTGGATGGGCAAGTTACCTTCTCTCCCTCCACACAAAAACGGAGCGCGCCCGCAAAACAGTCGAAACCTCAGAACCAGTCCCAGAAGGCCCCAGATACCGAAATGTCCGTGGAATCATCATTCTACTCCACCGAAAAGGAGAAGGAGGTCACAGACCTATCCCGTCAATCGCACATGGACCCAACTACTCCGCCCGATGAAGATGTCCGCCAGCAGCCGAAACCTTGCGGACCACAGAGCTGTCCGTATAGTGTCCCATGCCCGGCGCCTGCTCTCCAGGCCCAGGAGAGCCCTCCCCCAGAACAAACGGGGGGTAATGCCCAACAGGTTCAGATGCTCTGCGATATGATTCGCACAGAACTAACTGCGGCGCCGGATTTCATTTACTTCGATGCCAAGTGGCGGATCATCGAGATACTACGGGAGGTGCACAAACGCCAGCTGGTCCACCTGAAGGGCACACCGATCTGCAACGGAAGACGCTGTCCGCCGGCACCGCCGCAGAAGAAGTGCCCGGCCAAACAGGGTCCGAATCAGTATGCCCCGAGAAGAGCATCGCCAGGGCCGGGACAGAAGAGCGGAGCAACACGCGCATGCGACTGCCAGTTCTGCCGTCGACCCGCGAACTGAGCGCTCCATCCGGCACTATCAGCAAAAACCCTGACCCAGTTACTGGTGATAAGCGCCTAGTGGTGGCTTCCCTGTTTCGGCCGAGCGCGCGGCAGATACAAACTCTCTCGAGATGGCAGTGGAGGCATTTCTGAACAGCTCCAAGCTGCTGCAGCACTGGCCAAGCTGTTTGCTTGGTCTACTTCTCGTTTTGGCCATTAAGTACGTCTTAAACCAGCGGAAAAAGAGTTCCAAGAACTATAGCACCGACAGGGATGGGGATATTGAAAGTATAGTCTTTTTACAAATTCTTCATTATTCAATTCTTCAGTATTCATTTGATTTGCTTCCAGCTGAATTCGAAGAGGAAGCTAGAGGCGACCTGCAGCCCGCTCTGGAGGAGAAGCCGCATGTGCAGTTTGTTCCTGGCCAGACACTCAATCCCAATGGCGCCCGACGCTTCTTGGAACTAGTGCGTGGACGTCGCAGCATCCGCTCGTTCAGTCCCTTGACCAAGCCCAGCCTCGGCGTCATTGAGGACTGCATAAGGGCGGCTGGAACTGCTCCGAGTGGAGCCCACACTGAGCCCTGGACATTTTGCGTGGTGGAGGAGGCCTCAGTAAAGCAATCCGTGCGTGCGATTGTGGAACACGAGGAGCAGATCAATTACAACAAGCGCATGCATCCCCAGTGGGTCACGGATTTGCGGCCGCTCCAAACAAACCATGTGAAGCCGTATCTGACGGATGCTCCCTATCTGATCCTTATTTTTAAGCAGACTTACGGCACCGCCAAGGACGGGCGACGGAAAACGCACTATTACAATGAAATCTCAACGTCCATTTCTGCCGGGATCCTGTTATGCTCCCTCCAGGCGGCGGGCCTGTCATCGCTGGTCACAACTCCCCTGAACTGTGGCCCAGCCCTGAGAGAGCTGCTCGGACGACCTGTGAACGAGAAACTACTGATACTCCTGGCAGTGGGGTATCCGACAGACGATTGCAAGGTGCCAGACTTGAAACGAAAACGTCTGGACGAGATTTTGGTTAAATATTAATATTTACATTTCAAATTACAAAAATGCAATAAACCGGAAAAACGAATATCAATACAAACTGTCGATACACAGGAAATGTGCAGCATTTGCAGTGCAATTTAATCAATTCTATAGTATAATGGTGCCTGTAAAAAAATTTACAATGAAGATTTTTTAGATAATCAATTCTTTCAATAAACAGATATTTTTATACACTATTACAGCACTTCGCTATCGCACATCGATAACAGATAATCGGCATCGGAGGTGAATTCCGATAGCATATGACAATAACGCATATTTTCGGTATATCGGTAAATAATGGTATATTTTTTTGTTGATTTTTGTTTAAAACTTCTTTTATTGATTCATCTAAAAAAATTATGTGTTCATTGCTCGTGGGTGCTAGCTCGCTGGTAATATTAAAAATATATATGAAAATATGAGGAATATGATTTCCGGTCATGGAAAACGATTGTCCATTGTCTACCAGTGGATATAAAATGCACTCCACGATAATAGTTTTAACGAATGCATATACAAGAAGTATTTATAAACAGTTTTATTATCCGTTGTTTAACTGAAGTTTTTTGCCCTTTTAAAATGTGGAGGCTTAAATGGGTTATGGGTTTTCAATCGGTATATTTACGGTATCTTTTGAAAATGAGTTGGTTTGTTTCAGTATGTTTCTGAGGGTCGGACGGTATTTGTTTAATGATAAGTGTGCGGTCACACTGAGCAGATGAGCAAATGAAAATTTCTGAAGTGCCGTTTTCTGGAAAAATAATATTTCACTTAAATATTGTAGTTCGTGCGCGATTTTTCTACCTACAACTGGATATTTAAGTGCTTTAAGATCTTATTAATCCGCGGATTTTTTTTCTGTGGCTGCACTCAAGGTGGCTGTAGCTAATAAGTGTCCACGAATGAGAGCGTAAAGCAGATGGCGGAGAGCGTCCCGCGCATCAGTGTGTGTGTGCGCGTGAATGAGAAGTAGAAAGCGGCGGTAAAAACCTTGTTCGCGTGTAAAAACCTACTCATCTAAGACGAGATACTTAATAAATAATATTTTCGCTTGTATATATCGAGTGGAAAAAGTGTAAAAAATATCCTTGAGTGTCCCCAATCTTCGCCAGCAGCGCAGCAAGCGATAGAAAATAGCAGACGAAAACAAAACGCGTCCCCCAGAACCGCCGATAGCGAGGAATGCCAGCGTGTGAGTGTGAAAAGTAAAAAGTTGAAAAAGAGGAGGTGGGCAGAGAAGAGAGGAGAAAACTGTAGCATAGCACACTCTGCTAAAGATTGTGATAAAAGCAAACGCAGCGTTAAATTGTTGAATAATATTCGAGCTCCTACCAGTGCTGCAAAAATCGCCCTGCATTATCATCAGTGTTGCACATTGCCCAGCCCTACGCATAATTCAACACTCCCTGTCATCCCCACAGTTCCATCAAGTGTCTGCTGTCCCTTCCGTCTGCTAATATTTTTTAGGTTCTTATAGTTCTTATATAGAGAGAGTGTCGGAGCTGGGGCTCCGCTACACTATGCTCGTATATTAACTCTGTCTCCAATTTTAATTATTAAGCAGAGAACACTGCGTGCAAAGCGCCAGCCAACTGTGTGTTGAAACTGTACCATATTGTGGGTATCGGAAGGGGAATGGTCATGGCCAGAGGCAGGGGCATGGCATGTGGAGGCCCACGGTGAATCCCACTTATATGCGACGCAAATAGATTCTTTGACAGTGTCTACTGTATACCACAAAATATTTGGATTTCCCCACACCCGACGACTAATGGTAAACTCTTTCATTTTTTATTTTATTTTCTCCCGTCTAGCAGACCACCAGCGCGACATGAGTTTTGAGTGGTTACTGCCAGAATTGTTGAATTGCTTTTAACTTGTTGCCTACGTAAGGGAATACGTAGAGAAAACCACCGCCAGTATCCCTCCCTGATCGCAGTCCAGCCGCAGATATGAATAATCGCCCGCAGAAGCAGCCGGCTGAGATGCCGGTAAAATTAAAGTCCGGCGGCCGAAAGTCGAGCCGCAAGGCGGCCTTGGTGTCGGCGGAATTGAATACTGCCCCAGAAGGTGCCGATCAAGAGCATCGCAAGAATGGCCATGCCACAAATGGTGGCAGCAAGCGCCGGCGGGCCAGCAAAGGTGGCAATTCGCCCCCCCTGACCAACGGTGACAGCAAGAGGAGCAAAATGAAGCAACAGAATCCGGGCAGCGAGAGCCAGCAGGCCGTCGTCTCCACCACGAGAACCAACAACAAAAAGTATATTGCCTGCAGCAACAACAACAACAACAGTAACAGCAGGAACATTAATGTGAGCAACGGCCAACACAACATCAACAGCAACCACAAGAAGGCCACCAGCGCCATCAACACCCCATCGCCATCGCCTCCAAAAGGGGCTGCGGCAACAGCAAAAAAGCAAGACTACAATTACCGCGACACCATATCGCCACCCACACCGCTCTTGCCGGCCTCACCCCCACCCAATGTGGCGGAGATAGTGTGCATTTCGGATGCAGAGTCCGAGGAGAACGAGCCGGCGGACTACTTTGACAGGGACACGGAGGAGGAGGACGAGGAGCCAGACGTGTTGGAAGTGGAGGACGAGGTGGTTCTGGTGAACGACACAGCCTCTACTCCCATGACAAAACTGCAGCTAAAGAACGTTAATCCGAAGAACATAGCTGCAGCAGCCGCAGCAGCAGCGGCGGCCGCAGAAGCGGCAGCTGCCGCAGCAGAAGTGGCGGCGGCAGCAGCAGCCGCATTGCCCAACTTTGGCATCCCCACCAGCAACAGCACTCCGCTGGATCTTAACAACGAGGCGCACCAGAAGGACCTGGAATCCGTGACAGATCTTCGGTCCTACGGTGAGTCGGGGAAACATCCACTCAAACATGATTTAAACATCCAGTTTACCCCTCCCCCGGGATGGGAAGGGCTACAGTCAAGCTTGCCAATGTTGAATACATTGAAATTTCCCCTAATCGGCCCGGGCGTCCCCTAGGACGCCTATGAGATACAGAAAAAAAAATGCAAATCAGTTTTCAGACAGAAGAAAAATAAATATTTTTGGCAAGGCGGCTCTTAGGGAATTACTACTGTATTCATATTTCATTCATCGAAGGAAAACAAAGCGATAGTTAGTCAAAGAAAAACTCTGAGAGCGTAAAGCATGGTAGGGTGGGGCGAGGTGGGTTGCATGCGCTTCCGTTGCATCTTGGTCAATGGCGGGCGGCCTTTTGGTGTCCTTTTGCAAGTGTAGCACGTGCATTTAACCTTGACACAATTACCTACTAGCCGTCGACCCTGTCCGACCGCTGCCCCCCGACCGCCGCCGCCCCCGCCCCTTGCTCCTTGGCTTCGGGGGCGGGGGCAGGGGGCGGTGCATGCGAATGCCGTTTTGGGCGTTGGGTGTTAATTCTACTGACCGAAAGTTCTCCCGCCTGTTCTCGTCTCCACAACACATACGGTGAGTAGGGCCATGCTTGGGCTTCAGACAGTGGCAGTGGCTTTTGATGGCACCCTCGGCAGGCACAGTGGCATCGATTGATGCCATGGAATATACATAGCTAGGGGACTATAATAGTTTTTGGAAGTTCGAGCTTCTCAGTTTCTTGGAAATTGTGGAAACGAAAACATCAACATCGACATGAACAAGTTGTGTTTATAAGGGGTGAGGCACACCTAGAGAAAGCTCTCCCATAAAGTCGTTGAGAGTAGTATTGAAAAATACCGAGAGAGCAGAAGATCTAGTGGTATTTCGGTAATGCCTCACCCCACCAATTCGTACACCTTGGGCATGCAGTCGTGGCTATGCGTGTTCTCCTGCCTGTGTGTGTTTGCAAAAACGTGCGACGGTGTAGTGGCAGGGAGGGGAGGCGGGTGCAGTAGTAGGCAATTTATTTACTTGAACTTGACAATGCAACTCCTGGAATATCAGCTATAGCACCCGCTAGCCTTTGTAGATAATTGCCTCTAATCGTTATTTTAGTTGTTTAATTATCTTTACGCCTCCCCCCCCAATCCTGCTGGCATTTCGATCACAACAAAATGCTCTCTCCACACCCCTACGTGATCGGCGGCGAATGCTATCGCTCTCTTCCTCTCGGTGTTGTTTTTCTGTACAGCACCGCACACGTTCTGTTAACATACAGCTGGCTAACAGAAGTGCATTATGTACAGAATTTTGGACAAACATTTGCCTCCTCTACGACAAGAGGGGGTGGAGGGGTGGTAGGGGAAAAAGAAAACCAGATGATGGCAGCCGAAAGAACATTCTACTTGTTGCTCGAGTGTCATTGTGTTTTCTTTTTTTTCGGCTTTGTTGCGTTCATTAAACTTTGCCTAGAACGGGATGAGAGAACAACATTCTGTGCGGTTATACAGTTTAAGAACCTGCTAAAAGAGTATATTATACATATATAATATTGCATACCAAGGCCAGTTGCGGTTAAATATTGCGGTTTAAAGATCCACGGATAGAATAGAATATAAACAAATACTTGTTTTTCATAATATTTCATGTAATTCTGTGTGAAATAAACTTCAGATTAAAAGTTTGCCAAATGTAAAGCAGAAAATTCAATGAATCCAAATATAACTGAATCGCGAATGAATTAGTTGGGAGCTTTTCGACACTGCACCAATATGTGTATGTAGCTGTGGCATGAGGGGTGCTGCCACATTTGTTCACATTTCAAGTTCTTGGCTCAGCTTTTGGGAGGGGGGGGGGTTCCCAAGTCTCCCATTTGTGGGATGTGCTATCTCATACTTTCACACTTTCTTGTACCCTGTTCTTGTTGAATCAATAATTCGGCCGAAGAATGAGTTGTGCTCCCACTCGAGGCTCTCGGGTGTGTTTTTAGGTTATTGTACCCTTAAGGAATCGAGTGTGTTTTGCTTGTGTTTCGTGCAAATTACCTTTACTCGTTGTTAGCAACTTGTATTTTCAAATAAAACAACAGGTTTGTTCCAAAGCAAGGCGGTTCCATTAACCTCTTACGGAGTTTGTGTCAATGTGCCGCAAATTTCACAACAATTCGAAATTTTCGTAGAACATTTATAATACATGG